CTTATTGTCAAGAGCATTTCTAATAGTTTCAGTTATTTTAATAAGTGCATGAGTCGTGGAGTGTTTGTTACGAAACCCATACTGATGTTTGTAAAGACATTGGTTTTTGTCAAGAAAGCTATAAAGTCTGTTGTACATGGCTTTTTCAAATATTTTACTAATGTTAGATAGAAGAGAAATCGGTCGATAGTTTCTGTGATCCATTAGAGAACCCTTTTTATGGATAGGAATAACTTTGGCTATCTTAAAAACATCTGGAAAAAGACCTTTATTAAAAGAATTATTTAATATGGTACAGAGAGGCTTGCAAATAACATGAGAAGTAAGTTTAAGAAGGTTTGTGAGGATACTATTTGGTCCAAAACTTTTACCATTTTGTAAACTATTTTTTATTAAATTAGATACCTCATTTTCAGTCACTGGATTAAGAAAGAAAGAATTCGAATTAGCATTTTTTAAATAGTCAGAGAAGATACTTTTAGAAGAAATCATTTTACTTTTGGGTGGGTGTTGTATTGTTTCATAGTATTTGTTAAAAATGTTAGCAACAGCCATACTGTCAGAGATAGTGTAACCGTATATGTATGTATATATATATATATATATATATATATATATATATATATATATATATATATATATATATATAACCGTATAGTATGTATATATATATATATATATATATACATACATACATACATACATACATACATACATATATATATATATATATATATATATATATATATATATATATATATATATATATATATACATATATATATATATGTATATATATATATATATATATATATATATATATATATATATATATATATATATATATATATATATATATATATATATATATATATATATATATATATATATATATATATATAAATAGGGAAGAGTTACCTTAATTGGAACAGTTAAGGAATAATTATTTATTAACCTAAGATGGCTTTTTACTACTAATGGAAAGTTTTATTGTGTTGAATTTGTGTATGAAAATGGACGATGTTTTACAAAATAATGATTTATCAAGCTTTTTTACCAATCCATGTGATTTAAAGAGTTTGAATATTTTTTATATTAAAAAAATTTTATCAAATTTTTAAAGTATTTTCTTGTAAAGTTGTTTAAAAAAGGATTTGTGCTTGCTCCTTTAGTAGGTTAGTAGAAGGATCATTAAAATTTAGCAATTTTTACAATTGTATAATGTATCATAACGTACAGTTTAAAGTTGTATTTTTCTGTTAGCTATTTTACATGAACAAATTTTTAATATATGAGTATTTTTTCTATTATATTTTCTACTATACTTTTCCAGTTGAAAAAGTATAGTTGGGCAAGCAAAATGTTCATTCGAGCTGTTTGGATAGAAAATACAGAGAAATAAAGTGAGAAAATTCGATCGATAATTTTTATGTGCTGGCTATCATCATTAAATGTAGTAAATTGTTTCAATGAAATGCATAAACCGCATCTAACTAATACAGATTTACGCTGCTCAAAATTAAATGTCATGGAGTTAATGTAATTTTTTTTTTATATAAACATTAAGTCAAATTTTGTAATGTAATTTTTTTTTTATATAAACATTAAGTCATTACTTTTTTTCCTTGTTTTTTTAACATGCTTTTATTCTGTATATGTTGTTTTCAGTGTTTAGATATATTCTTTATTATATATTCTTTATTATATAATGTATTTAAAATCATGAGTTATGTAATAAATTTAAATTTGCCACTACTAGTGATACTCAGATAGAATCAGATTCAGAAAACGGTAACTATTTTAAAAGATACTTAATTCAAGTATTATTAGTTTTATTTTGATATTAATTTTTATAGGAGCCACTACCATGCTTATGCAAGAGAAAACATAATAACCAACAGAATAGTAAGCAAGTACCTACTCCTGTAACGCAAAAAAAGAAACAGAAAACAATTTTGATGCATACTCCACATACTGTAGCTCAAGGTATTAATTGTCTGTCTGTAAAATGATTTAGGAAGAAAAGATTCTGAACATTTTTTTCTATGCTTCAGTGATTTACACATTTTATTGGTTGCTAAATTAATACATTTTGTTTAGTTTATGAATAATGTTTTATTTTATAAATGTTTTGTTCTTGTGTTTCAACCCTTTTAGAAATTAATTAATGTTTGGTTCTTTTGTCTTTCTGATATATCTTTATTGTTAGAAAGAGATGTTAGTAAAAACTCTTTCCAGTAATTAAAGTAATATCATGACAAATAGTTCTGAAAATTCTATGGATGAACTTGCAGCAGTAATTTAATGATTATGATAACAGTTTAAATGATTTTTAGGTGAAGTCAAAAGTGATGGGTTGTTTTAAACCATGACTTTTTGCAGTTTTTTAAATTGTTTTTTAAAAAAGTATTTATTAATTACTTATTTTAAGTTAATCTACTTTTTATAAATGTACTATAAAAATAATGTTGTGTAATTATTTTCTTAAACCTTTAGGTTAACTAACTTTCTAAAATTGGAGATAAAACCATTAAGACAAATACAAAAAATGTGATGCAAAGGTTTGTTAAAAGTAGTTTTAAATAAAAATTCTTTTGAATCTTTTTATTATAGTTTGTTTTAAACTTGTGTCAAAAGTATATTTAGCATATATTTTTAAAAGTTTGACAAATTCTAATCAGACATAAAATAAATCTTTATTTTTGTCTGATTTTGTCTTGATTTTTTTTTGAACTGTTTTCTCTTACTTTTGTATTACATGAGCTAAAGAACAACCTTAAAGTACAAAGGTTGATTTGTAATGCATGCCTGACCTTTTTTTTTACTCGATATATATACATACATATATATGTACATAAATAAACATACATATATATGTATATATATACACACATATGCTTAAATGAATATATTATATATATATATATATATATATATATATATATATATATATATATATATATATATATATATATATATATATATATATATATATATATATATATATATATATATATATATATATATATATATAATAATGGTACAATTTAAAGTTTTTTCTTTTATTTGTAAAGTTGTACTTGATAAAAATAAACAAATAAAATTGAACATTTTGAATATTTATTGATTATTATGATAAATTATATAAAATATATACAAAGTATAAATATTTTGCAAAAAAACTTTTATTTGCTATATCTGCTTCAACACATTGTGGCATGCTTGCAATTTATTTTTTATAGTTTCTGTCAACTTTGGGTTATTATGCCAGATCTTGATAATCTCTTCCATAAAATCTTACTTATTAGTAAGATTTTTTTTTTCCTATCTCTTGCTTTATTATTTCCCAAATGTTTTCTATGGGGTTAAGATCATGCAAGTTGTCTGGCCATAGCAATACATCAACTAAGCCATAACAGTTTTCATTGTGTGGCAAGTTGCACAATCTTTCATAAATATAAGATTTTTGACATTTGTTTTAATATTTTTGAATTTTTTTGTCATTTTTTGACATTTTAGGCTGGACATCAATCCCTCTTCTTTTAGCCTTCTACAAATGGTCCGGTCTGACACAACAATTACAGCTTTATGGATAAGCTTAGTCAATAAGTTTAGTGGCTTTTTTTCTGTTTTCCAGGCAGATAAATCTGATTATACTGTGTGCTCTTGGTGGTTTCTTGCGTTTAGAAGGTGGTCTCCTTAGACCAAACTCTTCCCCTGTATAAATTCTTTTTCTTACTTGCATTACGGTTTGGTAAGAAACCTTTTGCGTTGGGTGAGAAACCTTTGGTGAGAAACCTTTATGCAATTTTTCATTAAGAATAATTTGTATTTTGTAAAAGACATGTTTATCAATTTTTGTTACTATGATATTAATAACAATGCATAATGTAGGTTGTTGACCAATGGTTTATAATCAAAATTTAATATGGCTGACGGTAAAGGTAAAGAGAAATTTAAAGGAACAAACATTAGGTATTTACTTGTAAGTTAAGTGTAAAATTATATATTTTTAAAAATCACAGTTCGTTTTTTTAATGCTATTTTATTTTTAACTTTTTGATGTATTTGATGAAAATTACTCAGGCAATACCTTTTTTATAGAGAGAGTTTTGTCAATTAAAATGACTGCTACAGTTGCCGAAATAAGAAAAGGAATAATGAATTTATTAAAATACGCACTCGACAGATCAAATGGTGGTGGTCGCCGCGTAAAAGGCGATTAACCCGATGTATAACATTCATACTTTTTCCTAGTTGTTCTGGAACTATTGATAATAGTTATTATTGATAAATTGATAAATATATTACTGATAAATAAAACTTTTTTTTTTCAAACATTTTGTTTTATTTGCATTGTATATAAAGTCCGTTGAAGCAATTTAGTTGTATCTGATTAATTTACGTGAAATATAATATCCTCTGCGCAAATTATTGCTTTTTTATTGTGTTAATTTATTGCAATTAAAGTTGAGAAAATTTTTTAGTTAATTGGATTTAACCAAAATAAAAAACAAAAATCAACGTTGAATTTACGTTGTTTCAACGTTGTTTTAACGTCTTATCAATTACGTATTAATCGAATATATCACCTATTCAAAGTTGAAATATGGTTGATATGTAGTCGATAAGACGTAAGATCAACGTTAAAACGACGTAATCATCGACGTTGTTTCAACGTCGTAGTTTTCGACGTCGGATTTTCTTTCCAATTCAACCAAATTTCAACGTTGTTTCAACGTGACATATGGTCGGTTTGCGACGTTGTTTCAACGTTATTTCAACGTCATTGTGCCGGCTGGGTAAATATTTAAACAGTTTATAAACGTAAAAATTTATTATTAATAATAATTGTTTAACGAACTCAAAATAAAAAATATTATATATTGTTATAACAACAGTATTTAATATATATGTATGCATAATATACCCAGCCGGCACAATGACGTTGAAATAACGTTGAAACAACGTCGCAAACCGACCATATGTCACGTTGAAACAACGTTGAAATTTGGTTGAATTGGAAAGAAAATCCGACGTCGAAAACTACGACGTTGAAACAACGTCGATGATTACGTCGTTTTAACGTTGATCTTACGTCTTATCGACTACATATCAACCATATTTCAACTTTGAATAGGTGATATATTCGATTAATACGTAATTGATAAGACGTTAAAACAACGTTGAAACAACGTAAATTCAACGTTGATTTTTGTTTTTTATTTTGGTTAAATCCAATTAACTAAAAAATTTTCTCAACTTTAATTGCAATAAATTAACACAATAAAAAAGCAATAATTTGCGCAGAGGATATTATATTTCACGTAAATTAATCAGATACAACTAAATTGCTTCAACGGACTTTATATACAATGCAAATAAAACAAAATGTTTGAAAAAAAAAAAGTTTTATTTATCAGTAATATATTTATCAATTTATCAATAATAACTATTATCAATAGTTCCAGAACAACTAGGAAAAAGTATGAATGTTATACATCGGGTTAATCGCCTTTTACGCGGCGACCACCACCATTTGATCTGTCGAGTGCGTATTTTAATAAATTCATTATTCCTTTTCTTATTTCGGCAACTGTAGCAGTCATTTTAATTGACAAAACTCTCTCTATAAAAAAGGTATTGCCTGAGTAATTTTCATCAAATACATCAAAAAGTTAAAAATAAAATAGCATTAAAAAAACGAACTGTGATTTTTAAAAATATATAATTTTACACTTAACTTACAAGTAAATACCTAATGTTTGTTCCTTTAAATTTCTCTTTACCTTTACCGTCAGCCATATTAAATTTTGATTATAAACCATTGGTCAACAACCTACATTATGCATTGTTATTAATATCATAGTAACAAAAATTGATAAACATGTCTTTTACAAAATACAAATTATTCTTAATGAAAAATTGCATAAAGGTTTCTCACCAAAGGTTTCTCACCCAACGCAAAAGGTTTCTTACCAAACCGTAATGCAAGTAAGAAAAAGAATTTATACAGGGGAAGAGTTTGGTCTAAGGAGACCACCTTCTAAACGCAAGAAACCACCAAGAGCACACAGTATAATCAGATTTATCTGCCTGGAAAACAGAAAAAAAGCCACTAAACTTATTGACTAAGCTTATCCATAAAGCTGTAATTGTTGTGTCAGACCGGACCATTTGTAGAAGGCTAAAAGAAGAGGGATTGATGTCCAGCCTAAAATGTCAAAAAATGACAAAAAAATTCAAAAATATTAAAACAAATGTCAAAAATCTTATATTTATGAAAGATTGTGCAACTTGCCACACAATGAAAACTGTTATGGCTTAGTTGATGTATTGCTATGGCCAGACAACTTGCATGATCTTAACCCCATAGAAAACATTTGGGAAATAATAAAGCAAGAGATAGGAAAAAAAAAATCTTACTAATAAGTAAGATTTTATGGAAGAGATTATCAAGATCTGGCATAATAACCCAAAGTTGACAGAAACTATAAAAAATAAATTGCAAGCATGCCACAATGTGTTGAAGCAGATATAGCAAATAAAAGTGTTTTTGCAAAATATTTATACTTTGTATATATTTTATATAATTTATCATAATAATCAATAAATATTCAAAATGTTCAATTTTATTTGTTTATTTTTATCAAGTACAACTTTACAAATAAAAGAAAAAACTTTAAATTGTACCATTATTATATATATATATATATATATATATATATATATAAATATATATATATATATATATATATATATATATATATATATATATATATATATATATATATATATATATTCATTTAAGCATATGTGTGTATATATATACATATATATGTATGTTTATTTATGTACATATATATGTATGTATATATATCGAGTAAAAAAAAAGGTCAGGTATGCATTACAAATCAACCTTTGTACTTTAAGGTTGTTCTTTAGCTCAAGGAAATACAAAAGTAAGAGAAAACAGTTTAAAAAAAAATCAAGACAAAATCAGACAAAAATAAAGATTTATTTTATGTCTGATTAGAATTTGTCAAACTTTTAAAAATATATGCTAAATATACTTTTGACACAAGTTTAAAACAAACTATAATAAAAAGATACAAAAGAATTTTTATTTAAAACTACTTTTAACAAACCTTTGCATCACATTTTTTGTATTTGTCTTAATGGTTTTATCTCCAATTTTAGAAAGTTAGTTAACCTAAAGGTTTAAAAAAATAATTACACAACATTATTTTTATAGTACATTTATAAAAAGTAGATTAACTTAAAATAAGTAATTAATAAATACTTTTTTAAAAAACAATTTAAAAAACTGCAAAAAGTCATGGTTTAAAACAACCCATCACTTTTGACCTCACCCAAGAATCATTTAAACTGTTATCATAATCATTAAATTACTGCTCCAAGTTCGTCCATAGAATTTTCAGAACTATTTGTCATGATATTACTTTAATTACTGGAAAGAGTTTTTACTAACATCTCTTTCTAACAATAAAGATATATCAGAAAGACAAAAGAACCAAACATTAATTAATTTCTAAAAGGGTTGAAACACAAGAACAAAACATTTATAAAATAAAACATTATTCATAAAATAAATAAAATGTATTAATTTAGCAACCAATAAAATGTGTAAATCACTGAAGCATAGAAAAAAATGTTCAGAATCTTTTCTTCCTAAATCAATTTACAGACAGACAATTAATACCTTGAGCTACAGTATGTGGAGTATGCATAAAAATTGTTTTCTGTTTTTTTTTTTTGCGTTACAGGAGTAGGTACTTGCTTACTATTCTGTTGGTTATTATGTTTTCTCTTGCATAAGCATGGTAGTGGCTTCTATAAAAATTAATATCAAAATAAAACTAATAATACTTGAATTAAGTATCTTTTAAAATAGTTACCGTTTTCTGAATCTGATTCTATCTGAGTATCACTAGTAGTGGCAAATTTAAATTTATTACATAACTCATGATTTTAAATACATTATATAATAAAGAATATATAATAAAGAATATATCTAAACACTGAAAACAACATATACAGAATGAAAGCATGTTAAAAAAACAAGGAAAAAAAGTAATGACCTAATGTTTATATAAAAAAAAAAATTACATTAACTCCATGACATTTAATTTTGAGCAGCGTAAATCTGAATTAGTTAGATGCGGTTTATGCATTTCATTGAAACAATTTATGGCATTTAATGATGATAGCCAGCACATAAAAATTATCGATCGAATTTTCTCACTTTATTTCTCTGTATTTTTTATCCAAACAGCTCGAATGAACATTTTGCTTGCCCAACTATACTTTTTCAACTGGAAAAGTATAGTAGAAAATATAATAGAAAAAATACTCATATATTAAAAATTTGTTCATGTAAAATAGCTAACAGAAAAATACAACTTTAAACTGTACGTTATGATACATTATACAATTGTTAAAAATTGCTAAATTTTAATGTTGATCCTTCTACCAACCTACTAAAGGAGCAAGCACAAATCCTTTTTTAAACAACTTTACAAGAAAAATCTTTAAAAATTTGATAAAATTTTTTTAATATAAAAAATATTCAAACTCTTTAAATCACATGGATTGGTAAAAAAGCTTGATAAATCATTATTTTGTAAAACATCATCTATTTTCATACACAAATTCAACACAATAAAACTTTCCATTAGTTAGTAAAAAGCCATCTTAGGTTAATAAATAATTATTACTTAACTGTTCCAATTAAGGTAACTCTTCCCTATTTATATATATATATATATATATATATATATATATATATATATATATATATATATATATATATATATATATATATATATATATATATATATATATATATATATATATATATATATATATATATATATATATATATATATATATATATATACTAGGTTGGTTGAAAAGTTCGCGGAGCGGAAATGAAAAAACAATTTTATGATTCAAAAAATGATTTTATTCTTCAGTATATTCTCCCTTAAGAGCAATACACTTTTTCCAACGATTCTCCAATTCATGTAACCCATCTCTGAAGTGCGATTCCGGAAGGCCTTCAAAATACCCATTTACGGCTGCAATGACTTCTTCATGTGATGAGAAACGCTTTCCACGTAGAAATTTTTTGAGATGTGGAAAGAGGTGGAAGTCGGACGGAGCCAGATCTGGTGAATAGGGTGGATGTTCCAAGCGTTCGTACTTTAATTCGACCAATTTCGCCTTTGCAACATCGCTGATATGAGCAGGTGCGTTGTCCTGGTGATAAATGATTTTTTTATGCAGCAAACCAGGTCTTTTCTCACGAATTTTTATATCCAACTGGTCCAAAAGATTTTTATAATATTCACCTGTTATCGTTTTACCGGTTTGAAGGTAATCTATTAATAAAATTCCTTTCGCATCCCAAAAAACTGATGCCATAACCTTCTTTGACGATTTTGACGCCTTCACTTGCTTCGGAGCTGAACAACCGGGTTCTGTCCACTCTGCAGTTTGTTGTCGCAGCTTCGGATCATAGTGGTAAACCCAAGTCTCATCCATGGTTACGAATCGACGCACAAAATCTGTTTTATTCTTTTGAAAACGGGCCAAATGTTCTTGAGAAAGTTTTACTCGAGTGCGTTTCTGATCCAGAGTTAGCGAATGCGGCACCCATCTTGCCAACAGCTTTCTCAGACGTAATTCATTGTGCAAGATGTGTAATACCCGTTCATCTGAGATGCCCACAGCCTCAGCAATTTCACGTTTGGTCAATCGTCTATCATCCATAACCATGTCATGCACAGCATTAATCGTTTCTTCAGTAGTAGCACTTTTTGGACGTCCAGAGCGAGGGTCATCTTCAAGGCTTGAACGCCCACGTTGAAACTCCGCAGCCCATTTGCATACTGTTATTTTTGAAGGAGCATCATCACCCAACACATTTACCATTTCATTATGAATTTCCATGGGCTTTAAACCTTTTTTCACAAAGAATTTTATTACAGCACGATGTTCAATATTTTCCATTTTAAAAAATACTATGACACGTCTAATTTCAATAGCTTGTAAACAAAGACTGAAATGACATATCGACTTGAAATTTTTTATGCGTTCATACGAAGAATGAATACGTTTAATACAGTTATAAATTTGTTTCTACTACTGCAACATAGGTGCCGCTCCGCGAACTTTTCAACCAACCTAGTATATATATATATATATATATATATATATATATATATATATATATATATATATATATATATATATATATATATATATATATATATATATATGTATGTATGTATGTATGTATGTATATATATATATATATATGTATGTATGTATGTATATATATATATATATATATATATATATATATATATATATATATATATATATATATATATATATATATATATATATATATATATATAAGAAAAACATATATAATATATATTTTATATTTATATAATATATCAAGTAATCTCTACTTGTAATCCACACTCATGAAATAATACGGTCGTAAAGAAATATCCATTTAATATTTACCTTACTAAATGCATCACAAGTTAAGCCATGTATTATTGTTAAATTGTCAAATTCAAAACCTTATAAAAAGGCAACAGATGGCCTAATTTATTAGCAAGGGTGACTTTTCTTGTTTTTATTTGGCTAATAAATAACTTTACTTTTTATTTGTTATGCTAATAAAAAAAATTTTAAGTCACGCATGCGTATTTTAGTTCTCATATTGCAATTACGAACGGTCGAACTCGTAATATAGACGTTGAAATAACGTGGAATCAACGTCGATTTTATTTGATAGTTTTAAACAAATTTTTCAACGTTGATACAACGTTGATTTTTGGTTATACGACGTCGCGACTAAAAATCAACTGTAAATCAACGTCGAAATAACGTCGTGTGCCCACTGGGTAGTAATAAATATCATTAATCTAATTATATAAATATTATTTTGTACTATTATAAAATAATTATTTAAATAAATTTTAGGATTTTAAAATTTTTAATTTAATAAGTTTAGAAAGGAGTACACATAACAAAAACTTAACACATATATATCTTTTAAATGTTTATAAAACTCTCTTTGTTATATCTAAATGAGAGTATAGCTAATGGTTCTTAAGCTAGTAGGTAGTATATTTTTTCAAACTCTGTGTTGAAGATGCAGATTTTAACAGCAGGGGTAAAATATCATAAAACAGCAAGATCGATAAAATACAAATATTACTGTGTTAGCGCATTCATGTTGGTAATGTTAATGTTTTAGGTGTGTATTATTGAGGTTACTTAGCAATCTTGTACTTCAACTTTATTAATAAGATTTTGTTTTAACTACTTAATTATACTTATACAGAATTAAGCAACTGCATAGCTGAAGGAGTACAAACAACATACACTCAATATCATACAGGATCTGTAAAATATAACAAGATCTGTAAAGTACAACAGGATCTGTAAAATATCATAATAGCAGCGTTTGCGCATTGAATGTGACAATGTACTCTGTTAAAGGGTTTATTAACAACTACTTATAGTCATACAAAAGAAAGTAAGCATAGCTTATACATTTATATATATATATATATATATATTAAAATATTTAAAATTTAAGTTAATCTTATTTTTTTATATTTGTTTAGAGAAATCTGTTTACTCTGAATATTTACATGCAGATTGAGTGATTTAATATTGATCTCATCCTAAATTTAAAAAGAAAAATTTTTTTTTTGGTTTATGTTTACACACTTGTGCGACGAGGATGGGTTTCCATAATGACATTCTAACTTTTACTAAATTCTAATTTTCTAAATTCTAACGACATTGAAAAGTTGAAGCATATTTTTAAAACCTGATGCCCTTCCTGACATACAGATGTAGTAAATAATTCAAACAAATGTCAATAAATACCTTTGAGTCACCAATAATCTGTGACAATATACTTATAACTGTTGGTTGTAAATTTTATATATTCAGCCCTCAAAATCCATTCTTGTAAACTGTACTTAGCAGATACCAAGTTAGCATAATAATGCTTTTAATTTTTTGCATCCTGTTACAAAAGAGTTTATGATTTAAAAACTGAAACAAAAATTACTTTTTATGAACATTGCTTTTGAACTATTTAAAATTTAGCAATCAAACCTTATATAAGCGTACTGCCAATTTATGATTTGACTATAAAATCTAGGTTTAACAGCCTAACATATGCCATATGGACCATAATGGTCTAAGATGTTGATATTGACAGTACAGGTGTTTTTGTTTAAGCTTTATTCAATCTTAAGATAGATGTCGCATCCGGATAAGAACATAAAGTGTAAAAAGTTATTCTTTTTTATGAATGGTGTTTCACTAGGTGTTTATGTAGTGCACTCTTTATCTTTATACTGACAATTTTTAAAAACTCTGAGTAGTTTCTGCAAGATTTCAACCAGATTAAAGTAACTTCTGAATCATTTGTTTGAAAGCTGCAGGATTTAAACTTCTATTTTTCAAAAACTGTTCTGTTCAGGCATATTACAACTTGTTTAGAGTTTTCTCTAAACAAGTTGTAACAATTTTTTTAAATATAAAAATAGTAAACTAATTTTTGAAAAAAAAAACTTCAACAACTTTATTGTGACCTATTTTTTAACACTTCACAAATAAACCACATAATAATATTTGTTTATATTTAATATTAGAAAATTTCAAACAAACTTGTCAAAAAAAATTATTTAACTATCAGAAATATCAATAATTATAATAAGACAAACATACCCATACATGCACACAAGAGACAAAGTCCTTTGGCTTGTTTTATACAGACTAAGGATTTTAAAATATTAAACAAAATAGAATAAAAAATTAACAAAAATAAATTTAAAGCTATTTGAGTCAAATCTTGAACCTGCGTCAAGCAAATAATAAACTTGGTTGATACAGCAAAAAATAATAGCAATACATTCATTTCATTCACACTAGATTATAAATGCAATCATATGAATACAATGATTTTCTTTCTTAAAAACTAATGCCTTATTTGAATTACTCATAAAGTGGTAAAATTCTATGTTTTTTTCAAAGTATATAACTTCACAAAAAAGCCAACTACAGACACTCTACGATACTTTACTAGAACTTGCAAAGGTTATTTAAAATATGTTGTAAAAATTTTTACTTATCTAGTTTTTATTTCCTGTCCTTCAACCCTTTGAAATTCTCTACCATCTTCATGTTTTCCTGACTCATACAACCTCCAACTTTTTAAGTCTTCAGTCAACTATTTCTCCCAACATTAATAATGGTTGCAGCTAGGGTTTCCAATCCAGATATCTGAATACCATTTTTGACTATTTAAAAATCCGGACAATTACTATAGAATATTGGACAATCGGAACAATTTTTAATGAAACATTACATTTTTTAATTGCTTAAAAGAAGGAAAACTAGCAAGCAAGCATTTTATTTAGTAGATTTTTAGTGGAACTATTTAGTTTTTGTAGTTTTGCTCATTGCTTACTTAGTAGACCATTAGTAGCAGTTGCCAAAGGTGGCTAGCCACTCTATTGTTTTTGGAAAGTTATTGACTAGCCACTTATAGCGTATACTACTAATGATCTACTAAGTAATCAATTAACAAAACTCAAAATGAACCACTCAAATAGCCTATAGGTCTACTGCAAATCCAATAATAATAGCTAGGTATAAATATAAACAATAAACGAGCCATTAAATGGTTATCATAAGATGGAAACTTTAGCACAATAGTTATTTAAAATAATTAACTTTTAAACAATTTCATTATTTTTATCAAAAATAAAAACTTATTTTTATATTGTTAAATGTTAGTTTATTATTTTCTATTCTTTGAAACAATCTTTTGATGTTACACTTTGTAAGCATTAAGTTACAAAGTGTAATTATAACTTTTGAAACATTAATGATGGTTTAAATACAAGTTTTGAAGTTACAAACATTTTTTTGAAAATTAGAAAAATCATTAAAGTTATAGATGTCATTTAAGATTTTCAGGAATTTATAAAAAACCTAAGAGTAATTATAAAAGTAATATTGTTCTTTTCAGTCAAAAACAGCATTTTACAAGGATATGTAAATGAAGAAGCCAGCAAGACAGTTTTTTTTTTAAATTTATTTCAATTAACCTCTTCCAGACCATTAAGGCCATTACAGTTAAAGAGGCTTTAGTTGTGGTTATAACCCTTTCATAACTATAGAACTTCAAAACACAAATCTTTACAAACAAATTTATAATGTAAAAAAGTGAATGAATATTAAAATAAAATCTTTATGAAATAAAAAATTATGAAATTAAAATGAAATTAAAAACATTCACATTCTAAATTAACATTTTAATTATACTTCAAAATTTGCCGCCATTGCCTTAACAGTAAAAATATTTTAAAAGGGTTCATACATCTAGTAGTAACAGTAATAGTACTAAGTATAACAAAATCAAAGAAGTTGTAAAAGAAGTTGCAAGAAAAGTGTTTGTAAGTTAAAAAACTAATAGTTTTCTGAAGCAATAACTGAAAGCAGTGGTTTTCTCGATAACCATGTTAAAGTAAAGAGCATCAAAATTACTACATTGCTGAAAAAGATTTAATGCTTTTAAAAACCACAATAACAATAAACAATTTAAATAAATTGTTTAACGCACTTCTAACAATAAAATCAACATTTACTGCAACAAAAATTTTTTAATTGCAGATCCAACCAGAACAAATATTAGAACTCGCTTAAAACTTTAATCATTCAACAATCATTCCAATAATATTTCAAAAGATGTATTTTTAAATAGAAAATAAATTTAAATAATAAAACTGCTTTATAACTTTTTAGATTTTTATATATATATATATATATATATATATATATATATATATATATATATATATATATATATATATATATATATATATATATATATATATATATATATATATATATATGTATATATATATATATATATATATATATATATATATATATATATATATATATATATATATATATATATATACCGGTTTTTGTATCCATTTAAAACAATCATATATATATATATATATATATATATATATATATATATATATATATATATATATATATATATATATATATATATATATATATATATATATATATATATATATATATATACCGGTTTTTGTATCCATTTAAAACAATCATGACAACCATTTAAAACAACCATGACATTCATTTAAAACACCGCGACAATCAATAAACAATGTGCTTTTTAATTAAAACAATCGTGATTTTCAATTAAAACATTTAACGCATGCGCAATCTCAACATTTTACATTATTTAAAAAAAAAAAAGTTTTCTTTATATATTTTTATTTTTTTTATTCATTTTTTTAAAATTATTTAAAATTTTATTTTATTTAAAATGTTTATTTTCCAATTACTGTCGAGGTACGTCATCTGACCTAAGACACGCTTCGAAAAAGCTTTCGCAGTGTGTGTAATAGTTTGATAGGAATAGATAAGCATGCATCACGCATTCTTGTAATTAGTTCATTTCTATTAGTTGGAGCCGTTTTTCTTAGCACGTTATTCTTAAGATAAAAAAAAATCTCTTCACACGGATTTAAGAATGGTGAATATGGTGGCAAATATTTCATTTGAATGTTCTGAGCCCTCATCTCAACATTATGATGGATTCTGACATTATCCATCACCAGGGTGAATTCTTCCTCTGTCCCCAAAACTCGTACAACTTCATCAATATATTCTTGAAACAAAACTGTGTTGACTGACACACTGACAGCTTCGCAGTGAATAATATTTAAACCATTGACGGCCAATATCATCGAAACGTTACGCTGCCTAGGGCGAATGATCGGGTTTGGTGTTACTCCTCTTCTTGCCCATGAATGACTGCGAAACATGTGTAAATTAAGTGGACTTTCATCAATAAAAACAATATTTCGATAGCGATTAATAGGCGATATTGAAGTATACCACCTAACATATTCAATACGAAGATTTTTTACATCATTGTCGTTTCTTCTTTCATAAATTGGTCGAGTAATTTTATATGTGTATCCAAGATTGGTCACCCATCTCCAGACAGTTTTAATCGATACATTTACATTTAAAGCATTTTTAATTTCAATTATAGTTGTCGTTGTGTTATCGTTTATAAGCTCTTCAATTCTTCTTCTAATCTCTTCATTATAAATAACGTGACGAGCGCCACCTCTAGAACCAGGAAGTGTTGAATTCGTTCGATCGTACCTTCTTAAAATTGATTGTATTGTGTTTCGATTAACTCCTGTTAACGATGAAGCTTCAGATTGAGTTTTTCCTCGATCAACGACTAGATTTACCACAAGATCTCACATGTTTTGGGAAACGGAATTTCGCGGCATGAAGATTCAGACTGACTTTTTCTTCGATCAACAACCAATCTCAAAACAAACTTTCGCGTATTTTGGCTAACAGAATTTCGCTGCATGTTTTAATGAAAATCTAATATCCTCATGCGCTAAATATTTTAATAGGAAATCATGGTTGTTTTAATTATAATCATGCATGTTTTAATTGAACATCATGGTTGTTTTGCCAATACAGTATGTGTATAAAAAATATGTAAAAAAATATGGTTTTGCATCCAATTAAAACAAACATGACATCCATTTAAATTTAAAATAAATTCCATTAAATTAAAATAAATTAATATAATATTAATAAAAATAAATTAATATAATATTAGATAAATAAATATATAAAGAAAACTTTTTTTTTTTTATTAGTATAAAATGTTGAGATTGCGCATGCGTTAAATGTTTTAATTGAAAATCACGATTGTATTAATTGAAAAGCACATTGCACATTGGTCGGAAACATCACTTTTCTTGGCCAAAACTATTAAAACTTTTTAAGAATTTTTAACTGGAATTTGAATTTGCCGTATATTTCAAGTGTTTTTGTATAAAATAATTAATTTTTTTTTAAAAAATTATTAACATTTAGAATTAAAATTAAAAAAAAAAATTTTTACATAAATTTTTTTCTTTTCTTTCTGAGTTTTTATTTTTTTAGTTCTAAATTAGAAAATATACGATACTTACGAGTAAATATGTTGTTTCTGGAAATTAAAAATATGATTTATACACGTATTTACGAAAATATTAAAATTTCATTAAACTCTTTAATTTAAATACAATTCATTATCCAAAAATGTATTTTCCTCTTCAAGTTGTTCTGGATAATTGTCCTCGTCGCCATCCATATTTTCTAAATTCTCAGTCGCACATGTTTCACCAATATCCTCACAATACAAATATTTCTTTATTTCTGGTGGCAGTGTTAAACGCTTTCTTTGGTGCACACGTGTATTTAAGCGAAGAGATGAAATTAATGGATCCGATGTGTTAAGAGCTCTATGAAATACATCGAAAAGATTATCAATGCGGCTAGTCTTACGTGCATGGTGGAGTCTGTCACTTTTACATATTTTGTTTCGTGACTCAGCTGCATCCTCTCCGAAGTAACCAAAAGGAAGTGCTGTATTCTGCATTATTTGCTTTGAGTGAATTATAACTTTATGTACTGTGGGAGTCTTTGGCAACCAGGGGTACTTGCTTTGATATAATTGACCAGTTTGAAAGCAATACTCTTCAAATTTTACCAAATTTAGAGAAAATTGACAAGATAAACATATTAATACTATTCTCATTCAAAATTTTAATTCGGTGTCTACTCCTAAAACTTTCAAAAATTTATCATATTCATTAAATGCTCTACGCAACGCGTTGCCGTCATTTGTGAAACCACAACCACCTGCTTTCGGAAAATCAACACGAAAACTTAGTTCTTTCCAAAACTCATTCTGAATATACTCTTTTTTTTTCTTAATTGCATCTTTATCTTCATCCAATTTGCCATTTTTTTACTTCCATCTTGTATCCTAAATGTAGTACGAACTCAAAAAATCTAATCCAGCAGTACAGTGGACTAATTCCGTACTTTAGATTTCCATTGATAGGATGAAATTTTACGCTGTTAAAATCTGTGACTTTAAGAAAGTCATTTTGGGTTGCATGGCATATTGGACATTTTTGATTTGATTTTTATCGGTTAAAAACATTCAAAACTTTTCCATCTATAACAGTTAAAAACAGTCTGAACGTTATTTCGATTATCTTACCAGCTTCAATTTCAACAAGTAAGTTTTCAAGCTCTTGAATTTTTTTATTTAAGTCAGCAGCTTCTCTTGTTATCACTTCCTTCGTTTCACTCTTGTACACTAATTTTAAAGGCCGACAAAATCTTGTGGACTGCGGAAAACAATTATTCCAAATCGGGGCTCCCGCGCTACTCAAGAGTCTCAGGGGAATCACTGTTGTGCCAACAGACACGAATCAGCATTTCGTGATGCACTTTGATCAAGGAAAGATTGCTTATATTGAGATTGACCAGAGCTGCTGTCAAAACCGTAACTAAATATCATTTCCGTTGATATGAAGTTACCCGTAGTTGCAAATACTTCCTTTTGCATTTCTATAATTAATATAATATAAAGGAACTTTTACACATTTATCGTCTACAAGAACACCATCGGGTCTGCACTTACTTTTTATTGCTATATATTATCATAGGGTGGATAAATATTAGCGTTGCGTTGCTTGCTTTCAGTCCGTATGGGACAGTATTGGCTCTTCGAAAAATTGTTTTCGAGAAGAAATGCTAACGCTTCCTCATCAGACATTACAATAGGTGCTTTTACATCATCGACATATAGCTTTCTAATTTTTGATGATTTTGATGGACTTTCGATAATTTTTTTTAAAACAACAGCCAAATCTACTTGTCCTTGTTTTCGAGCCGAAATTGATGCTGCTTGAACTAACAGATTTGTTTCGTTGTGTTCTGACATCGAGAGGTTTGCTGCTTGTCTCCTCTTACGTAGTTCAGATTTCTCAGAGTACTTAAGTTGCGGACGTCCTATTATTGATACAATTTTTTAATCTGGGGTTAGTTTTACTATGCATTGAGTCTCTGTGGAAGCGATTTCTAAATTTATTTCCCTGTTTATTACAGTTTCTGAACAAAGCCAGCCAGAATATTTAATTTAAAAATCATCTCATCTTCTATGACACTTTTCCCACTTTGCAGACAAATTATTGTTAAGCATGCGTGCTTTTTCTGTTAAATATTTATAGTATTCATCTGAAATTTTATCAGCTACACATTTTTGTATAAAATAATTTGTTAGTGCGTCCTTATTTTTTCCTTTCTTCTGCTGGGACAACCAAATATCAAAAACTGATGAATTCTGTAAAAAAAATGACTCCTGAAAAAAAAAATTTACTCAAAAACCGCAAAAAACCGCAAATCGAGATAAACATTTTCAAAAAACAAAACACTTCAAAGTAATTTTGGTTTATAATCTTATGCTTAACACTCCTAAACAAAATGTGTTAAGCTTACTTAAACTTAAAAAATAAAATAAATTCCAAAATGTTAGAGACTTTTGGAAAAAGTTATTTTATTTTTTAGAGTATCCAAATTTTAAGTATTATATTTTACAAAATTAATAAACTTACCATCACCTTCGTTTTCCATTTAAACTTTTATTTAACACACTTTGTTTTCAGCTTTAACAAGCAATTGAAGTAAGTACTATAAAACACCGATCGCAATTCTGTTTACAAATGAAGCAAACAAATTCAACTTTGATGACTCACAGAATAACGGTGAATTGCATATTACAACAACAAAATTAATTTTTGGTTGTTTTGGAGTGTTGACTACTAGATTTAAAAAACAAGTACATATTTCGTGAGTGTAAAAATTTTGACTTTTGGCCAAGAAAAGTGATGTTTCCGACCACTGTGCATTGTTTTAATTGATTGTCGCGGTGTTTTAAATGAATGTCACGGTTGTTTTAAATGGTTGTCATGATTGTTTTAAATGGATGTAAAAACCGGTATATATATATATATATATATATATATATATATATATATATATATATATATATATATATATATATATATATATATATATATATATATATATATATATATATATATATATATATATATATATATATATATATATATATATATATATATATATATATATATATATATATATATATATATATATGTATATATATATATATATATATATATATATACATATATATAAATATATATGTATATATATATATATATATATATATATATATATATATATATATATATATATATATATATATATATATATTTATATATATATAAATGTATATATATATGTATATATATACACATATATATATGCATAAATATATATGTGTATAAATATATATGGGGGCTTCAGTACATACATCGACTGACAAATAGCCTGACTGGCAGTGGAGTGCTACTACATTGACTGAGGGTTTGGTATGGGTCAGCAACCTTTTCATTCATTATTCTTTGTTTTCCCTCATCGTTTTCTAAAAACGCTCACTAAATTTAGGCTAGAAAAAAAAGTGAGCAATTGCGCATATAAATATGCTATAGTAGATATATATATACATATATATATATATATATATATATATATATATATATATATATATATATATATATATATATATATATATATATATATATATATATATATATATATATATATATATATATATATATGTATATATATATATATATATATGTATATATATATATATATATATATATTATATATATATATATATATATATATATATATATATATATATATATATATATATATATATATATATATATATATAAATGTATATTATATATATATATATATATATATATATATATATATATATATATATATATATATATATATATATATATATATATATATATATATATATATATATAAATATATATATATATATAAACAATTAACTACAATAATATAACCTAATTTAGACCTTGCCATAACCCTAACCCGAAGCCTGACCTTGATGCATAGCTAAACCAAACTCTCAGTAGATGTAGCAGCACTACCTTACGAGTCAGGCTATTTGTCAGTCGATGTATGTTTTTTTTGTTCTCTATAGAAGTTTCTTACGGGTACATTTTTTTACAAAAAGAAATCATGCTTAAGGTGACAAAAATTTAACGGGTACACTAAAATGTCCCTGCTAATGTACCCTTAAGAGTTTGTTTTTTTGTAAAATCTATCCCCGTAAGTGCTAAACTATACAAATATATTTGTATATATCTACATATACATATATACATTTTAATAAACAAGACAAACTTTTTAATCAATAAAACCATTTTTGTATTTTTAAAAAATACATGTTTCGACTGTCACTAGTCATCTTCAGTTGATTTTAATCTATTAAATTTGTTTAAATACCTTTAAAGGTGATTTTTACAAAACCAATAGAAAATGTATTTATCTGTGTACAAACTATTAATTTAATTACAAAAATACGACAAAATCTATTAAAAGAATAAA